GAGTGTTTTACTAGGGGGTAGTGTCTGTGTGCTTCACTGTAATCACACTGCCAGGGGCGGACTGACAACTCATGGGGCCCCTGGGCAATAGGGGATCATGGGGCCCCTGTGTCCTTGCCCACACTCAAAGCACACCCGATAAAGCCTAGAAAAAGGTACCATGGGTATTTCATGGGGCCCACTACTGACCCCGGGCCCTTGGGCAGTGTCCGAGTGCTCGAATGGTCAGTCTGCCCCTGCACACTGCTTTGCATGGATGTGCTGTGCTGAGAGGGAGGAGAACTGTTTTGTTCTCCTCCCCCCGTTCGAGATCCTCGGCAAAAACGGTATCCAACCCGAGGGCCTGGGGTCAGTAGAGGCCCCATGAGATGCCCCTGGTACCTTTTTCATAGGCTTTTTTGAGTTTGGGCAAGGACACGGGGGCCCCATGATCCCCTATTGCCCGGGGGCCCCATGAGTTGTCAGTCCGCCCCAGGCTCCGACCATCCATAAAGACTGTTTATATGCCCGTGAGATATTTGTCTGCACCGGCAATGTGAAATCCTTGGCTCATCAATCCATTGGTCCCTATAATAAGGGCCTATCTATGAGCGCATATCCTTGGGGGGGTCTTTGGCGGTGGTCTTCACGCCATCTGGGATTCATCTTGGATTGGATCTCACTTCAAACACTGATTTTTGGACGATGTTTGACTCTCGGAACTTTGAGCACGGATTGTTTGGGACTCTCGTGACCACCGGACTCACAACTTATGTGTTAATATATTTGTATTGATTTACTATTTGATATGGTGACTTGCGATCTGACGTGTGAGACCCCCGAGTCACATGACGTGTGAGACCCCCGAGTCACATGACGTGTGAGACCCCCGAGTCACATGACGTGTGAGACCCCCGAGTCACATGACGTGTGAGACCCCCGAGTCACATGACGTGTGAGACCCCCGAGTCACATGACGTGTGAGACCCCCGAGTCACATGACGTGTGAGACCCCCGAGTCACATGACGTGTGAAATCCCATGTAAGTCAATGAGAGGGGTCTTAATTCTCACTCCTGAAGTCGCTCCGACTTTAGAAAGGGTTCCTGTGCTACTTCAAGGCGACTTCTATCCCACTTGGGCCCATAGACTGTAATAGAAGTCGCCTCCGAGTCGGATCCTCATCTATATTGATGTGATTTGGATCTGACATTACAGGAAGATTACCCAGCATTCCCTGAAAGTCGCATCAAAGTCACATCAAAGGAGTACTCAAGTCGCCTGACAAAGTTGCACTGTATGCCTATTATTAGGGGTTCCCACCATCCCTGTGCTGATTTCCCAGATCTGTACACCTGCTGTGCCTATTATTAGGGGTTCCCACCATCCCTGTGCTGATTTCCCAGATCTGTACACCTGCTGTGCCTAATATTAGGGGTTCCTACCATCCATGTGCTGAGTTCCCAGATCTGTACACCCGCTGTGCCTATTATTAGGGGTTCCCTCCATCCATGTGCTGAGTTCCCAGATCTGTACACCCGCTGTGCCCATTATGAGGGGTTCCCACCATCCCTGTGCTGAATTCCCGGGTCTGTACATCTGCTGTGCCCGATATGAGGGGTTCCCACCATCCCTGTGCTGAGTTCCCGGGTCTGTACACCCGCGCTGTGCCCATTATGAGGGGTTCCCACCATCCCTGTTCTGAGTTCCTGGGGCTGTACACCCGCTGTGCCCATTATGAAGGGTTCCCACTATCCCTGTGCTGAGTTCCCGGGTCTGTACACTTGCTATGCCCATTATGAGGGGTTCCCCCATCCCTGTGCTGAGTTCCCAGGTCTCTGTACACCCCCTGTGCCCATTATGAGGGCTTCCCACCATCCCTGTGCTGAGTTCCCAGGTCTGTACACCCCCTGTGCCCATTATGAGGGCTTCCCACCATCCCTGTGCCAAGTTCCCAGGTCTATACGCCTGATGTGCCCATTATGAGGGGTTCCCACCATCCCTGTACTGAGTTTCCGGGTCTGTATTCTTGCTATGCCTATTATTAGGGGTTCCCACCATCCCTGTGCTGAGACTTTCAGGTCACAGTAGTGTGAACCGAGACTAAGACTGGATCCTAGTTTCACTTATTTTCACAATTTGCACCCACAGCCCAGGTCTGTCAGGCCGGAGGTCCTTCATGTCATGCATGATGTGTTTACTCTGCAGTATCCAAGGGAGGCCAAACTCGGGATTTGCAGAAAATGTACTTAAAAAGTAAAAACTAAGGCAGCCACCGTGTACCACGTGTAAGGGGTGACGAGACGTCATATATTATCGTTTGTGTTCTTCCTCGCAGATATACAATGTGTAAGATTTTATTTCCAGCTCTACAATACACTGACATCCTCCACTACTGTACCAGGCCAACCAAAACCAGAAGGGGAACCCCGACAGGGCAAGCTGAGGCCCACACAGGGGCGGACTGACCATTTGGGAACTCTGGCACTGCCCGAGGGCCCGGGGTCAGTAGGGGGCCCCATGAGATGCCCCTGGTACCTTTCATAGGCTTTTTTGGGTGTGGTTTGAGTGTGGGCGAGGACACAGGGGCCCCATGATCCCTTATTGCCTGGGGGCCCCATGAGTTGTCCGCTCCTGGGCCCACACATGGTGATCCTCTGAATACGTTGAATGGACTGTGGAAAGCCAGCGATTCCATAGTTTGTCCAATCTGGTTGAACCAGCTTGATGTTCCATGGTGGACTTGTCCAAGGTGTAAGGAGGACCCATTTGTGACCCTCATTCATCTCTTCTCCATTCTTCTCCAGGAGACGCTGGTTCTTCTACTGAAGAGTCTACCCCTCGGATGTTACTTCAATATCTTCAGCTTCGGTTCCAGTTTTAAGTCTTTATTTCAGTGAGTATAGCAAGCAAACGTTCGTCCTTCACTCCCCTTATAGCACCCTCTCCATCGAACACCATCATCTTAACCCCTCGCCTACCGGGCACTTATACCCCCTTCCTGCCTACAGGGCACTTCTACCCCCTTCCTGGCTTCAGGGCACTTTATACCCCCTTCCTGCCTACAGGGCACTTCTACCCCCTTCCTGGCTTCAGGGCACTTATACCCCCTTCCTGCCTACAGGACACTTCTACCCCCTTCCTGCCTACAGGGCACTTATACCCCCTTCCTGCCTACCGGGCACTTCTACCCCCTTCCTGCCTACAGGGCACTTCTACCCCCTTCCTGCCTACAGGGCACTTCTACCCCCTTCCTGCCTACAGGGCACTTCTACCCCCTTCCTGCCTACAGGGCACACTTCTACCCCCTTCCTGCCTACCGGGCACTTCTACCCCCTTCCCGCCTACAGGGCACTTCTACTCCCTTCCCGCCTACAGAGAGCACTTCTACCCCCTTCCCGCCTACCGGGCACTTCTACCCCCCCCGCCCCCTTCCCGCCTACCGGGCACTTCTACCCCCTTCCCGCCTACAGGACACTTCTACCCCTTCCCGCCTACAGGACACTTCTACCCCCTTCCTGCCTACCGGGCACTTTCTACCCCCTTCCTGCCTACCGGGCACTTCTACCCCCTTCCTGCCTACCGGGCACTTCTACCCCCTTCCTGCCTACCGGACACTTCTACCCCCTTCCTGCCTACCGGGCACTTCTACCCCCTTCCTGCCTACCGGGCACTTCTACCCCCTTCCTGCCTACAGGGCACTTCTACCCCCTTCCTGCCTACAGGGCACTTATACCCCCTTCCTGCCTACAGGACACTTCTACCCCCTTCCTGCCTACAGGACACTTCTACCCCCTTCCTGCCTACCGGGCACTTCTACCCCCTTCCTGCCTACCGGGCACTTCTACCCCCTTCCTGCCTACCGGGCACTTCTACCCCCTTCCTGCCTACAGGACACTTCTACCCCCTTCCTGCCTACAGGACACTTCTACCCCCTTTCCTGCCTACAGGGCACTTCTACCCCCTTCCTGCCTACCGGGCACTTATACCCCCTTCCTGCCTACAGGGCACTTATACCCCCTTCCTGCCTACAGGGCACTTCTACCCCCTTCCCGCCTACCGGGCACTTCTACCCCCTTCCTGCCTACAGGACACTTCTACCCGCTTCCTACCTACCGGGCACTTCTACCCCCTACCTGCCTACAGAGCACTTCTACCCCCTTCCTGCCTACAGGGCACTTCTACCCCCTTCCTGCCTACAGGGCACTTCTACCCCCTACCTGCCTACAGAGCACTTCTACCCCCTTCCTGCCTACAGGGCACTTCTACCCCCTTCCTGCCTACAGGGCACTTCTACCCCCTTCCTGCCTACCGGGCACTTCTACCCCCTTCCTGCCTACCGGGCACTTCTACCCCCTTCCTGCCTACCGGACACTTCTACCCCCTTCCTGCCTACAGGGCACTTCTACCCCCTTCCTGCCTACCGGACACTTCTACCCCCTTCCTGCCTACAGGGCACTTCTACCCCCTTCCTGCCTACAGGACACTTCTACCCCCTTCCTGCCTACCGGGCACTTATACCCCCTTCCTGCCTACAGGGCACTTCTACCCCCTTCCTGCCTACAGGGCACTTCTACTCCCTCCCTACCTACAGGGCACGTATACCCCCTTCCTGCCTACAGGGCACTTCTACCCCCTTCCTGCCTACAGGGCACTTCTACCCCCTCCCTGCCTACAGGGCACTTCTACCCCCTTCCTGCCTACCGGGCACTTCTACCCCCCTCCCTGCCTACAGGGCACTTCTACCCCCTTCCTGCCTACAGGGCACTTCTACCGCCTTCCTGTCCAGGGCAGCTTTCAGCTGTTGCACTTTGAATGACAATTCGCGGTCATGCAACACTGTACCCATATGAATTTTTTGTAATTTTTTTGAGACAGATAGAGCTTTCTTTTGGGGGTATTTAAGCACCTCGGGGTTTTTTATTTTTTGCTAAACAAACCAAAAACAACTGGAAATTTTGAAAAAAAATGTTTTTTCTTAGTTTTTGTTATAAAATTTTGTAAATAAGTGATTTTTCTCCTTCACTGATCTGCGCTAATGAGGCTGCACTGATAGGTGGCACTGATGAGGAGACACTGGTATGTGGCACTGATGGGCATTGACAGGCATCACTGATGGGCACTGATAGGCTGCACTGATGGGCACTGATGAGGAGGCACTAGTAGGTGGCACTGATGGGCATTGACAGGCATCACTGATGGGCACTGAAAGGCGGCACTGACTGGCACTGATAGTCAGCACTGATAGTCGGCACTGCCAGGGCACTGATGCGCACTGATAGGCAGCACTGACTGGCACTGATAGTCAGCACTGATAGGGCACTGATGCGCACTGATAGGCGGCACTGACTGGCACTGATAGGCAGCACTGACTGGCACTGATTGGCAGCTCTGTTAGGTGGCACTGACTGGCATTGATAGGTGGCACTGACTGGCACTGATAGGCGACACTGAAAGGCAGCTCAGATGGACACTGATATGTGGCATTGATGTGCATTGGTAGGCACTGATATGTGGCATTGATGAGGCACTAATGGGCACTGGCAGGTGGCACTGATGAGCACTGACAGCTGGCACTGCTGGGGCTACACTGATCATCAGGGCACACTGATCATTTGTGCCCTGATGATCAGTGTAGATGTCCCCTCTGTGGAATGCCAATTACCGGCTCTTCTCTCCTCTGTCAGTGTGACAGCTCGTGAGGAGAGACATGCCGATAACCGGCATTTCCTTATTTACATGTGATCAGCTGTGATTGGACACAGCTGATCACATGACCGAGCCGACATCTTCGGCTCTTTCTGTGATCGGTGATCCGCTGTGTCCTAGGGACACAGTGCACCACCGATCACTGTGCTGCGAGCTCCTGGATCCGCGCATGCGCGGTTAGAGTGGCAAGACGTCATGTGACCTCCTCCCAGAACAAGAGAACCGCTTTGCGCCTGTCATTACCTTATATGGCGGGCGGGAGGCGGTTTTTTAAACTGATTTTGGTTGTACATAATGTACAGTTGTGTTCAAAATAATAGCAGTGTGTTGAAAAAAGTGAATAAAGCTGAAAATCTTTCTAATAGCTTTTATTTCCATCCACACAAATGCATTGGGAACACGACACATTCTATTCCAAATCACAACATGAAGAAAAATACATCAAATTTGTGTTGTTCCTCTAAAAAAAAATGGAAGAAAAGTGAATATTAGACGGTTCAAAAAAATCGCAGTGTTTGTATTCTTCTTTACAAACTCAAACATTCACTATATAAACTGAGAAATGTTTGAAGATTTTGCTTTCCTTTGAATGACTTCATGAATATTTGGTTGTAGTCGCACTGTTTCTGAGAACTGCTGTACATCTGTGTTGCATGGAGTCACCCAACTTCTGGCCCCTGTGATCAGGTATTCCAGCCCAGGATGATTGGACCACATTCCACAGTTCTTCTCTATTTCTTGGTTTTGCCTCAGAAACTGCATTTTTGATGTCACCCCACAAGTTTTCTATTGGATTAACCACTTGCCGCTCTTCCACTGCATATATATGTGCGCAGGGCGGCACTGGGGCGCAAAACCACGTTTTAAAACTGGCTCCGCGCTCCCAACGTTTTCGCGGGCAGGGGGCGCACGCTCCCGGCGACCCGCGGGTGACACCATTTGATGTCCGGAGGGATCAATCATTCAATTTCAGCCAGTGATGTCTGGCTGAAATCGGATGATCGGTCCCTGTCCTATCCTGTCCTGTGTTGACAGTTACACAGGACAGGATATGATGTCATTCTTCTCTGCCTGGACACATTCCGTTCCAGACAGAGAAGAAGACATACAAATCGTGAGTAAAACAGCACATACCCACAGTTAGAACACACCTAGGACACATTTAACCCCCTGATCGCCCCCCCCCCCCATTTAACCCCTTCACTGCCCTGTCACCAGTGTCATTGATCAGTGAACCGATTTAACCCAAAATCCAATAAGCACCTTCAGGCTTTTAAAGGGCTTTATTTCCTCATTACACTTCCTGACAACCTATCACAGTTTCAGAAGGCCCTGGAATGCCAGAATAGCACCTAAACCCCCCCCCCCCCAGATGACCCCTTTTTGGAAAGTAGACACCCCAAGGAATTTGATAAGATGCATGGTAAGTATTTTGCAGATCTCATTTATTGCCACAAGTTTTTGGAAAATGAAGAAAGAAACCAAAAACATATTTTTTCTTTTCTGTTTTATATTTCAAAACCTTGTGAATAAAAATGAGATCTGCAAAATACTTACCATGCCTCTTTTTAAATTCCTTGGAGTGTCTACTTTCCAAAAAGGGGTCATTTGGGGGGGGGGGTTTGGTGCTATCCTGGCATTTCACGGCCTCCGAAAATGTGATAGGTAGTGAGGAAGTGAAATGAAGAAGTTATGCACCTTCAGGCTCTCAAGTGGTCATTGGATTTCAGGCTCCTGTATGTGGCTAGGCTCCCAAAAAGTGTCACATGTGTGGTATCCTCATACTCGGTAGAAGTAGCAGAATGTATTTTGGGGTGTAATTCCACATATACCCATGGATTGTGCAAAGAAATGAATCACTTTTAAAAAAAAAAAAAAAAAAAAAAAGTTTTTGTCATTTTCCAGAAACTTGTGGAAAAAAAAATAAATCTTCCATGGACACAAAATATGTCTCTCAGCAGATAGCTTAGGGTGTCTACTTTCCGAGCAAAGGGGTCATTTGGGGGTGTTTGTACTATCCTGGTATTTTAGCACCTCAAGAGATGTGATGGGCGGTCAGAAAGTAAAAGCTGTGGAAATTTCAAATTATCTATACCATAGATTGTAGACGCTATAACTTTCACACAAAGCAATCAATATACACTTACTGGGATTTTTTTTTTTTTACCAAAAACATGGAGCAGAATACATTTTGGCTTAAATTTCTGACTAACTTTGAGTTTACGATATATTTTTTTTATAGCTGAAAGTAGAAAATATTGGTTTTTTTTCTAAATTTTTGTGTTTTTTTTGTTTATAGCACAAAAAATAAAAAGCTCACAGGTGATAAAATACCACCAAAAGAAAGCTCTATTTGTGTGAAAAAAAGGACGTAAATTTCGTTTGGGTGCAGCATTGCATGACCGCGCAATTATTTGAATTAGTGCAGCGTTAAACAGCAAAAAAAGGCCTGGTCATTAAGGGGGGTAAATCCTCAGGAGCTCAAGTGGTTAAGATCCGGGGATTGGGCTGGCCACTCCATAACGTCCATCTTGTTGGTCTGGAACCAAGATGTTGCACGTTTACTGGTGTGTTTGGGGTCGTTGTCTTGTTGGAACACCCATTTCAAGGGCATTTCCTCTTCAGCATAAGGCAGCATGACCTCTTCAAGTATTCTGATGTATTCAAACTGATCCATGATCCCTGGTATGCGATAAATAGGCCCAACACCGTAGTATGAGAAACATCCCCATATCATGATGCTTGCACCACCATGCTTCACGGTCTTCACAGTATACTGTGGCTTGAATTCAGTGTTTGGGGGTCGTCTGACAAACTGTCTCCGCCCACTAGACCCAAAAAAAGAACAATCTTACTTTCATCAGCCCACAAAATGTTGCGCCATTTCTCTTTAGGCCGGTCAATGTGCTCTTTGGCAGATTGTAACCTCTTCAGCACGTCTTTTTTCCAACAGTGGGACTTTGCGGGGACTTCTTGCAGATAGCTTGGCTTCACATAGGCGTCTTCTAATTGTAACAGTCCTCACAGGGAACGTCACACCTTCTTTCATCTTCCTGGAGCTGATTGTTGGCTGAGTCCGCGCCATTTTGGCTATTCTTCTATCCATTCCAATGGTAGTTTTTCGCTTTCTTCCACGTCTTTCAGGTTTTGGTTGCCATTTTAAAGCATTTGCCATCATTTTAGCTGAGCAGCCGATCATTTTCTGCACTTCTTTATATGTTTTCCCCTCTCCAATCAACTTTTTAATCAAGGTACGCTGTTCTTCTGAACAATGTCTGGAACGACCCATTTTCCTCAGAATTTCAGAGAGAAATGCACTGTAACCAGCATGTCCAACATTTGCTGCCTTCCTTCCTTAAATAAGGGCAATAATTGCCACCTGTTTTTCAAAGAATGAATGACCTCACTAATAGAAACTCCACACGGCTATTATTGTGAACATGCCCCTTTCAATGAGTGATTCAATGACACAGAATCAGCAGCATGCATGTCATGACTGTTGGGTCTGTTGGATTTCTATGACTCTACTACACCTGCTAGGAAATTATTTGCCATGTAGAAATATCATTTCTACCAAAAAACAGTGATTGAATGATCTGCATGAAACTTCAGTCAGGAAAGCAGAGCCTCAAAGCAGGCAGAATCTGCTGGGCAGTCACTTTAGATAACCTGTGGTGCTCTAGAGTTTCTTTATCATCTGTTGCCGCATACCTACAGTAAAGACAAAATGATTTTTTTTTTTTTTTTACTTTTGGATAGTAGAGAGGGATTAGAACCCCTGTCAGGTTGTATTGCTGTCTGTGCCTGTGTTTGAGTGATTTTCCCCCCCCCCTGCCTCTAGGGAAAGTGTGGAGTACACCCAGCAGTCCATGAAGAAGGCATTGAAGAAAGTGGATAAGATGGATGCTGACCTTGGAGGAACTGAGATTCTTCTACCCCTAAAAAAGATCTATGACACAGCCGGGAAGGAAGGACACCCCCGACAGGTAGGTGAGGCTGAAAATTGTTTGTCCAACTATCTGCTGCTGGATGAGGAGACATCTTGGAGGGCCCTTCCAATGACCTGGGATTGGGTTATGGGGAGATGGAGGCAAAAACCACCGAAAGCACCAGTCTGGACCGAGATCATTAGAAACCATTTATAATATCAGGATATATCCAGCTGGTATTTTCTTGGGCAAGCAAGACATTTTTTTTTGTCAATTAGGTGGGGTTCCCACTATTCCTGCAATGAGTTCCCAGGTCTGTACACATGCTATAGCTATTGTGAGGGGTTCCCACCATCCCTGTGCTGAGTTCCTGGGTCTGTACGCCTGCTGTGCCCATTATGAGGGGTTCCCACCATCCCTGTGTGGAGTTCCCGGGTCTGTACACCTGCTGTACCCATTATGCAGGGTTCCCACTATCCCTGTTGGATTTTTATCTATTTTATATAATGGGGAATGTTACAAAAGGAACAGGAACACACAAAGTTGGACGGGAACTTCCAAACCTCTAAGGCTGGCCATACACTATACAATTTTCTGTCCTTTAGATTTACCTTCAACTATGTAGTGCAAGGGCCTGCCTAATTGGATACAATTGAAAGTGTTGTTTAGGTTTGACCTACTATTATATGGTTTTTGGTAAATCTAAAGCCAAAATCTCAAAGAAAAATTGTATAATGTATGGCCAGCCTAAGGTGGTTAGGAACAGATTTGTGAATGATGTCAGGGAGATCTTGTTGATGAAGTTCAATTATAGGAAGCCAGGGGCTGACTCAGCCCAATAAGCTCCATAACTAAAATATCAGTTTTGGTCGGATATTATTACCCTTTTCTACAAGAGCTGAAAAAGTCTCTGCTTTGAATTTTGAACCTTTGCCTACTTTATATACCGTTTTCCTTTGTTCAGTCTCAGTCTACCTGTGACTCGCGTCACCAAGTCTGCAA